TTCTTCAGCGACGCCTTCGCGGCAAGTCAAAATTGTCTTTCAACAACACCTCAATGGCGAGCAGAATTTTTTTTAACGACACCTCAGCGGATAGCCAAATTTCTCTTTTAGAAATATGTCGGCGGCGAGGAGAATTTTTTTCTTCAACAACGCCTCAGAGGAAAGCAAAATTTCTTTTTCAACAATACCTCGACGGTGAACATAATTGTTTTCTTCAATGACACCTTAGTGGATAGCCAAATTTCTCTTTCAGAAATACCTTGGCGGCAAGCAGAATTTTTCTAGGTAGCTACAGTTTGGCGACAGACCAAAATTTCTTTTACAGCTACAATTCTGTGGCGTGCCAAGTTGACAGGGTGCGACAAGCACTTTTGATATTGCATGATGAGTGACAATAATATCTTGACAACAAGTGAAGTTGACAAATTGCAACTAACCTTTTTGATATCATGCCATTTTGCAACTCTAAGGAGATTTTGATTTTTTTTTTTTTTTTAGGGTCGTACTAAACTTAGAATAAAATTCTAAACTGCCTATGTACCCTCAAAAGAGGGATCAAGTCATCACGTAGTTCAATAGAGACATTTTTTTTTTCTTTTTTCTTTTAGGGAGACAGTTTAAACTCGTATCAAGGAGTTCTTGATATTTTTTTTTTCTTTAGGTGGACAATTTATACCCTTGCCAAGAGTGTTGTTTTTTTTTTTTTTTTTTTTTCTGATAGACAGTTTATACTCATATCAAGGAGTGTCAATTAGTCCAGATAGACAGTTTAAGCTCGTGTCAAGGAGTGTTGTTTTTTCTTCTTCAGATAGACAGTTTATACTCATATCAGGGAGTGTTAATTTTTTTCAGGTAGACAGTTTAAGCTCGTGTTAAGGAGTGTCATTTTTTTGTTTGAGAGACAATTTAAACTCGTATCAAGGAGTCCTTGATTTTTTTTTTCTTCTAGGTAGACAGTTTAAACTCGTGTCAAGGAGTGTCATCGACAGTTTAGGCTCGTATCTGGGAGCATCATCGATAGTTTAGGCTCATATCTGGGAGCATCATCGACGTTAATAACTTTCTTCAACTTTGCAAGAGTCAAACGAAAATCCAAGCTTATGCTGAAGGGTATGGACTATCTTGGCGTCACTTTAAGGATTTTTTTCTTGGTTTCCTTGACTTAATGCCCCTTGTGATTTTGCACTTTCAGTTGAAGTCATTGTTGTAATATGGTGCGTTTCTTGATGCAAGTCTTTTGAGATGATGCTTATAATGAAAGATGAAGTTATTTCATCATCCGAGTTAGGAAGTATATTGTCTTCTTCTTTGGACTCACTTCTCTCATCTTCTTGAAGGTTGTCGGATATATCAGGAACATTTTCTCTAGCACCATGATTTTCCATGCTAAACTCCATGTCGTGGGCTCAAGTAACAAGCTCTTCAAATGTGTGAGGCTTAATCCCTTGCAGGATATAAAGAAGCTCCCAGCGTATGCCTTGCATACATGCTTCAACTGTAGAAATTTCAAACAAACGATCCTTGCAGTCAAGACTTAGAGTTCGCCAACGGTTGATGTATTTGACCACGGGTTCACTCTTCATTTGTTTTGTATTTGCAGCATACTAACAGTACGACAAATGCTATAGAAACAGTTGAGAAATTCTTATTCCATCTGTTCCCAACTGTCAATACCTCCAGCTTTGAGGTCTGTGTACCAATCAAATGCATTCCCTTTGAGGGAACGAACGAATTGCTTGACAAGGAGATCTCCTTCTGTGCCAGCATTGCCGCAAGTCTCTACAAAGTGTGTGACATATTGCTTGGGATTGCCTTTTTCGTCAAACTATTGAAGCTTTGGAGGTTGATACCCAACCGTCATTTTTAAAATGTCAATTCTTTCTGTGTAAGGCTTTGAGTACATGCGAGCACTTTGAGGGACGCCATTGTATTGTTCTCTTATGCATTTCGCTATCATGTCTTGAAGTTGTTGGACAGAAAGTAAAGTAACAAAGGTAACATCAATTGTTGGATTGGCGGACACGTCATTTTGATTATCAATTGGAGTGTTCTCTAACATGCAATTAGAATGAGGAATTCGACCTTTGCTTAACTCAGCATTGTTGTCATGCAATTTTAACTTTTCTGTCAGCGAGGCAATTTTTAGATCTTGCTCCTTGAGAGAGTGTCGTAATCTTTCAATTGCACAGGCCATAGTCATCAATTGTTCTTCGTACGAGGTAGTACTCGTCATCATGACTGGCATAGTGATGGAGTCAGAAAAAATCTTTGGCCTTGGGTGGACTAGCCTTGAACTTGTGACTGGAGCAACCTTTGAGGTTGTAGGAACCTTCCTCCTTGCCCCCAGCGAGGTGGAACTTAAACTTGTGATTGGAGCAACCTTTGAGATTGTAGAAACCTTCCTTTTTGCCCCCAGCGAGGTGAAACTTGAACTTGTGACTGGAGCAACCTTTGAGGTTATAGGAACCTTCCTCCTTGCCCCCAGCGAGGTGGAACTTGAACTTGTGACTGGAGCAACCTTTGAGGTTATAGGAACCTTCCTCCTTGCCCCTAGCGAGGTGGAACTTGAACTTGTGACTGGAGCAACCTTTGAGGTTATAAAAACCTTTCTTCTTGCCCCCAGCGAGGTGAAGGCGGTATGAGTTTGAGTTGTTACTTTGACAGATTTGGCAGAATTGACTCTTATCGCATCGTGCTGTCTTTTGGCAGGAACGGATTATTTGACCATGCTCCACATCATTGAACTTGCAGAGGTGTTTGTACCACTTGACGAAGTTGTAACCTTCTTGCCACCTTTTGTGATGGTATTGATGTTATCCGTCATGACCACGATGTCTTTGGTGGTATTCTTGCTGTTCGTCTGAATCTTATTGGAAGTTATAGAATCTGACGATGAATTTGTTGAGGATTTGATGTAGGAGAATGAGATGAGAGGCAGAGGATGTCCCACTGGGTGTGCCAGAAATTTGTACACACAAATTTTGTTCTCTGCAAATAAGAAACAAAATATGGGCAAAATAAAACTTTTATTAATTTGTGAATTTGGAGTACAATCCTTTGTAATTATCTTTACAAAAAGAATGGTCCTCTGATTCGATCTCCTTTTTGTTGTTGGTTGGATCCAAGGGCTACACGAGCTTGTTTTTGAATCGCCATGAAATTTAGATGAGGAACAGCACGATTTGATGTACTTATTGTTGATCACCGCGGAATTTGATGAAGACCGGCACGATTTGATGTGCTTAGTGGTCTTCGCTTTTGGGTTTGGATGTTGGGGATGAGAGCTTCTGTATTTCTCTCTGCAATTCTGGATTTCTGAATTCAAAATTTTGTTGTCTAAATTTCTGAACTTCTGAATTCTGAATTTGTGTCCTTTGTTGAATTTGAGGAAGAACGGCACGTTTTTGAATGTGCTTGTTATTCTTCGTCTTCAGAGAGGAAAGAATTTGTTGAATTTGGTGAAGAACAGCACGACTTCGGATGTGCTAGGTGTTTTTCGCCTTCAGGTTTTCCCTCGGGATTTCTGGCCTCTAGATTTCTGATTCTCTCAATTTCTGGACCTTCTGGATTTCTAAGTCTGACTCTGAATTTGTGTCCCTTTCCTTCTTCCTCCAGGCCTCTATTTATAAGCTTCTTGGATCCATAGGATGATGACATGTGTCATCTCCTGATAAGGATAAAATAATAACTGGGCCGGGCCGGTTATATTATAATAATTATCCTTAAAAATAATTATTCCAAAATATATTTTATTAGGAATAATTACTTTTATATTTAACCATCTGGGCTGGGCTATTTAAATAATTTAAGTGGACCAAACTTGGGCCAATTAAATAACTTAATTAAACATTAGGCCCATATTTAACGGGTCCATTTGTCAAAATCGAAGCCCACTAAAATTTTAGTGTCTGCACCTAGATTTACGAATTATTGGGATGCTTCTATTTTAGAATTATGATTGATTGATATGGTAATTTTTTATAGGCAAGTTGTAAAATTTTTGTCCAACAAAGCTTTAGGTTTGAAGGCTTTATAAATAGAAATAAGTTTGGGTAGAAAGATAAAGGAGAAAGATGCAAGGGGCTGAAATGTGAGTGTTGTGAGGAGAGGGAAGAGCATATATAATTCTTGGGGTGTAGCCTGAGAATAATTTTGGTGTTCTTAACCCAAAAAAGAAGAGTGAAAAACTATAGTTGTATATTTTCTTTCTTGATACATAACAGTGAAATTTCTCACTCCATGAACATAGTATAAAATATTGTATTATGTGTGATGTGTATGATTGTTATTTGCATATATGTTTGTATGATTGATATGATAATGATACTTTAGATGTACGTGTATGATGAAGAAAGAATTTAATTATCGAAACCACTAAATTAAACTGTATAATGAAAAAATAATAATAATAAAAGTATGTTATGAAGAAAAAAAATTTGTATTCAATCATTCTTTGTCCACTTTTCTAATCGGTTTGAGAATTTCACTTTTAAAAATTCACTCTGTTTTGAACTCTCAAAAAAATGAGAATTTGGTCTATGAGAGAAAGTCATGTACCATTTAAAATAAAATAAAAAAAAAAAAAAAATCACTCCATGTTATTTACCATATATATTTGTCTCTTTCTCTCTCTCTATATATATATATAGAAAAATTGGTCTATAAGAGATAGCCACGCATCATTCAAAATCCAAATCTTAACAAAATTAAATCACATTGAAAGAACAGCTTAACTAATTGAATTTTGACATTCATTAAAACAAATGCAAATTACATATGACCAACCCAAAATAGAAAAGAGAAAAGCCATTACCAATACAAGAGGAAGACCACTTGCTTTGACACTGATCGACATGGGGGACATATACATCACAAAAGTAATAATAATTAAATGCATGATATATATATATATATATATATATATATATATATACATATATACATATACACATGCAATACTAACTAAATACAGCATGCACGTACTTTCTCTTGAACTTCAATCATGCTTTGATCATGATCTCCTTAGGCACACTAATATTCTCATCTCCAATCAATTCTTGTCCAATATTAGAATTCAGTTTCTCTTCCACAGTAGCCATCTCTGAACTCACCAAAGCACTCAGCTTCACAACATCAATGATTTGTTCTGCTAATTCATGAAGAATGTGATCTTGTTCCAAAACTATAATATGGTTTTTGATTTCAGGAAGCTTTTGATCATTTTCGACAACTTTCTTTGCGTCCTTGTACATTACATACAGTATCATTTGAAGAACACCAAAGATGAATCCCAAGACATTTGGAATCTAGATATCAAAGAAAAAAAATAGATAATTAGATTTAAACAAAAAGAAATATATAAACAATAGGAAGAGGGCAGTGTTTAATTAATTAATTAAGGTGTATTGATTATATATACACACTTACAGCAATGTTAAAGTCTTTGATTAGTAGACCATAGAAGAACCACATGACTGCACTTAGTGTGAGGAAAAAGGATAGAAGGAATGGCATGTACTCTACGCTTTTCGTTCGTATAACTTGTCTCTGCAAAATGGAAGATATTATGTGTATGAAATTATATGAAAAGCTAGCTATTGGAGCTAGAAGAAATTAACATTTTATTGTAGTTGAAACCTATACATGTTGATTTTTGGCTTGTACTCACCACAATGCACAAAGGCGCGATAAATACGCAAAAAGAAAACACTAGGCAGATCCATCCAACAATGATGGCACAGGTCGGACCTTTTGCAAGAAAGTGAGTGAGAAGAAGGATCAAACCGAACCCGACAACATTCAGTAAAACCACCAGCTGCACAGTTTGAACCTGCATTTTGAGCCCAAAGTCCAAACTTCAATAATTAGAATGCCATTTGAGTGGGAAAAAAAAGCAATAATTAGAAAGCCATTTGAGTGGGGGAAAAAACGGGTGTGTTTGTTTTACCATTCTGAAAAGAAAAAAAAAATAATATATATATATTTTTTTCTTAGTTGGTACTCACACATACATGTCTCCACTGAGGTTCGAACCCCTGACTTCCCTTTGGGAAGTAGAGGCCTGGTACCGCTAAACCACAAGCGTGTTAGTAAAAAAAAACTTTGTTAGTTAAAGAACTGTCAATCAAACAAATTTTTAAAAAATTTTTACAAAAAGTACGTGTTCAAAAATATCAAACCGATTAAGGTATTAGTGTTAATTTCTTGAACATACCTTAGCCTTCTTTGGTGCATAAAAGAGGTAGAAGCAAATGTATATGGTCTCCATGAAGCAGCCAACAGAGTTGATGGTGATGAGAAGGGTAGCATTGGACTTGAGGAAAGCATAGTATATCCACAGCATGGAACTGAATAAAGCAACCACATAAGGAACTGATTGGAACCCTTCAGTTGATTTCTTCTTGTAGACTTTATAAAAAGTTGGCCTGTCATAAATAAAATAAAATAAAAAATCAGAATTTTGTTCATGCTAATTAATTAGTTATGTATTATCATCAAAGCTCATTAATTAATCAGATAAATGGCTTGAAATTAACCCATGAAAATACTTACAGTGGTGCAAGATAAACCATGAACGAGACCGCGTTACCTATATTATCAGTTGCAAAAAGAAAGAAAAAGAAAAATTAATAAGCTTTTATCAACTTTTCAGTTATGGAAGTTTCAATATTTTACTTGCAATAAGTCAAGAGAAAAGCTAAAAGTAATTCTAGACTTTTGCATGCAATTGCTCAAGCATTATATATTTATATACATATATATATATATATATATATATATATATATAGTGGGGTTCATGAGAACTCTCATATGAACTCAAGTCATCTTTCATATTATCAAGCTAAGTGCTCACACCAACACTATTGACTTATATGAAGATCGAAGAAGATTAATGAAAAGACTTTAGAAAAAAAAAAATGTTGACATAACACTAAATAAATTTATACCTAGTAGTCCAAATGCAAAAGCCAAATGAGCAGAGAACAAAGCCATCTCTTTAGCTATCACAATATATAACTCTCTCTCACACTCAAACAAATTAACACTTTCTTGTGTTCCCAAGTAGATCAGAGCACTAGCTATATCACTCGCAAGCACACCTATTGAATACTAGGAGCCTTCCTATTTATATAGAGATTGGGTGGGACATTGTGACCAAGTTTGGTTTCATGCAAGAAGTGGGAAAAAGAGGAGGAGGAGGGGGGATGTAACAATTGGTAGTAAAATTGAACTTGTTATGTATGATTCTTTACTGCTGTTTTCAAGATTGTGGTAACAATTTTTTTACTGTCACAATCCCAATAACAATTTATGGGTTGATTAAGGGAACTTGCCCCAAAACCCAAGGGACCCACCTAGCTAGCTCTTTGTGATGTGTGATCCAGTACCAATCCCATTCGCTTCAAGGCTTACAGCTCATACTACAGTTCTGGAAGGGTTTGATCACACCCTCCGTCTTATGTCCCAAGATGTGCTCTTACGATTAGCAGAAACCAATCCAAATTGGAATGACTCAGCACCAATCATTTATTGCCACATTAGCAACAGTAATACAGTGGGACCAAAAGGGTACCTGATAACAAGATTAAAAACGCGCCAATATGTGCTCATTTTAATCAAGATATTTGTGGGTAAGCTTATCTAGTTGCATGATGGGATAATATCAGGAAGTCAAGGACCGGGGAGGGGGCAGATAAAAGGGTACCAGAGAACAAGATTAAAAACGCGCCAATATGTGATAGTTGTGGTAAGCAGCAAGCTTATCTAGTTGCATGATGGGATTATAACTGGGACAGTTGGATTTTCTCCCTCTTTTATATTCTATATATATTTCATAATAATATGTTTGTTTTTTATAAAAATATGAAAGTGTCCACCCCTGAATTTTTTCATTTTTTTATAGAATTTTATATATATTTCATTTTTTTTTTTTACCAAATTATTTCCTTAATCCTTATATTTTATATCTGTAAATTAATTTCATGTCAAAAATATCACTATCTCTTTATATATATATATATATATATATATATATATATATATATATACATACGGATCATAATTATTGATTTGTAAGTATATACATTATATTGTAAATATACAATATTATAATGTGTCTCCTGGGAAAAAATTCTGACTGCATGCAACTACAACGTAAAGGGTTGGAGCCAACCCACTTCCACAGTCCTTTTGAGGGCATTATGGGGATTTCATAGTTTTCTATTCTGTGTTGGCTCCCTTTTGAAATGCTGACGTGTAATCGCATTTTGATCATTCCCACCAGAAGTGCAGATATATGATGAATCGGACGGTGGAGGAGAAGACTAAGAAGCAAGATTAAAAGGTAATGATGTATTATTACTTCTACTCTTAAGGTAAAATGGGAACCTAAGTGCTCGCTCCAACACCATCAATGAAAAGACTTTAGAAAAACAAAAATGCTAGACTCAACACTAGATAAATTTAGTGGGGTTCATGAGTAGTCTAATATGAACTCAAGTCCTCTTTCGTATTATCAAACCTAAGTGCTCGCACCAACGCATGAAGATCGAAGAAGATTAATGAAAAGACTTTAGAAAAACAAAATGATGATATAACACGGCTTTAGGAAAACAAAATGATGACATAACACTAAAGACAAGTTCACTAACACGCCTATTTTCTTATTTTTGTTTTCTTCGAAAGTAAAATTATGATTTTTATTTTTGAAGTTATTAAGTAGAATCATGTTCGCTAACTTTTTATGCTTTCAATATTTTCAAAGCAAGAAATTAAAAAACATGTTCAATAATTATAATTTTTATTTTGTAGGTACAAAATAAAAATCAACCCTTCTCTCTCTTTTCTGTAACTCGCCTAAGTTGAACCCAATTCACTATCAACATGGCCCTACCCATCACCACCCAAATATATACACACAAATTATTACAAACACACACACACACACATATATATATACAACCTCTGTATATAGGTGCCATTCTGGTTGAATTAACTCCTAAAGAATAGCAAAGTCTAAATAGTGGGAGTTTGATACTAACCGGGCAGAGATTGGAGCTATCTTTAATATGCTTAAGACAATCAAATACTATACTATCAAAAAGTTACTAACGGGCAGTGGTCTAACGGTATCAGACTCCTACTTTTTTAAAGGGAGGTAAAGGGTTCGAACCTTGGTGGAGGCATTTGTGTGTCTACCAACTCAAAAAAAAAATAAATAAATAAAGAAGAAGAAGACTATGAAAAAGTTCTCTAAATCAATTTCATTCACTCCACCCACCTCTAGGCAAATCAAAAGCCCATGTTATGCACTCCTTACGATTGAACTTTAGGAAGCCCCTTATTAGATCACTTAACCGTCATATGCGACTTAAACTCCAACATCAGTGGTGGCGGTTTGTGGTGGTAGAGAGAAAAAGAGAGGAAAAAGATGGTGGCGGTTTGCGGTGGCCAAGGGAGGAGGCAGCGTGTAGGATGGGTGTTGAATTTTTTTTTTTTTTTTTTAATAATAATAATGCTACAGTAGAGAAAGTAATTCCTGTGAACATTGTAAAAATCAGAAAAATCACAGTTTTCTCACTTTCTCTTCCATTCACAAAATTAGAAAGTACTTTCATAAAATTAAAAAGTGAAAGTATTTTATTAAACATGATTTTTACTTTTGATTCTCAATTTTAGGAATTGACAATAGAAATCAGGAATCATCCCTGTTAGTGAACACGTCTAAATAAATTAATACATAGAAGTCCAAATGCAAAAGCCAAATGAGCAGAGAATAAAGCCATCTCTTTAGTTATCACAATAACTTTCTCTCTCACACTCAAACAAACACTTTCTTGTGTTCCCAAGTAGATTAGAGCACTAGCTATATCACTCACAAGCACACATATTGAATACTATGAGCCTCCCTATTTATACAGAGATTGGGTGGGACATTGTGACCAAGTTTGGTTTCATGCAAGGAGTGAGAGAGAGAGAGAGAGGATGAATGTAACAATTGGTAGTAAAATTGAAAAAATGATTTTTCGATGTATATGATGAAGAAATGATTTAATTGTTAACTTAAACCAACTATAGACTGGGCTAGTGAGTTAAAGAGAGTTAACATCCCCAACATCAAATATGTTCAAGTTTAATCTAAATATTTATATATAAGCTTGATTAATTAATACACTAACTGATGCAGTGCCTACTTGGCAGCCTTGTCAACAACATGCAGATGATTAAGTGGCTAATTGGAAGATCATGAAATGTCTTGGAAAATGAGTTTTTCTCAATAACTTAAATTTATTTTCTTGGTATTTTGGGTATTGGAAGGTCTGTTTAATTAAAGATTGTCAATCTTAAGTCTTGTGTTTTGGGTTTGGAGTTGAAGCCTCATCAATGTAGTGTTGAAGTTGGAGTCTTATATTTATATGTGTTGGGAGTGAAGAAGAAGCTACAGAACTAGAATTTATATTTTGTAATGAAATTATAGAGCATAGCTCTTTGTTTATCCAACTCCTTTCTTAGTTGTGTTTTATTGTTTCATAATTTTTCTTCTTCCTTCTCATCCAAACGCGTCATTTGGTATCAGAGCTTGCGCTATGCTCTCAGGCCGACTTTTATTGTTCTTGTTTCATGGCGGCTAGAAGAGGTAGAAGAAGAAATGGCAACCGTATGATGGGAGATTTGAGGGATAAAGAGATGATGAACTTTAAGCACTTCGAAGACAAGTTGAGCAACTTACCTTGCGGCTAGAACGCCAAGAAGCTCGTCGCGAGCATGGTAGATCAAGTTGTGGGTCTTCTAGTGACGAGTCCGATGAGAACCCTTTTGCCAATCACGCGGGGCCATGGTTGGGAAGGTTCTATCGTGATTCTAAATATATGAAGATTGATTTACCGAAGTTCCATGGTCGTCTTCAGCCCGAAAAGTTTCTTGGTTGGCTTAGTGCCATTGAGAAATTCTTTGATTACAAAGAAACACCCGAGAATCAAAAAGTGAAGCTTGTGGCAACAAGGCTTCGAGGTTATGCTTCGGTATGGTGAGACAAAGTTCAAGAGATGAGGCTTTGTAAGAGAAAACCTAAAATTACTTCGTGGGAGAAAATGAAGTCTAGGCTTCAAGTGAAATTTCTACCTTTGGATTTTGCGCAAAGTTGTTTTTCTCAATTTAACAACCTTCGCCAAGATTCAAAGAGTGTGCTAGATTACACCGAAGAATTTTACAAACTCATGGCCCGGAATGACATTCAAGAAACTGAAGAACAACTTGTTTCAAGATATGTTGATGGGTTGAAAATTCCAATTCGCAATGAAGTAGAAATCCATTGAGTATGGAGGGTCAATGATGCTTACCAATTAGCCTTGAAAGTTGAGGCTAAACTGGCTCGTGGTGGTGCTAAAAAGTTTGCGGATGTTCGTAGTCTTTATCTTTCTTCTAAAGGAGAATCTTCTCGTGGTGGAGGAATTAATTCCCAAGTTTGGAGACGCGAGTAAAAATTCTGGAAAATCAGCCCCTACCAACCGTGTTGAAGCTCAATCTAGTCGCAACAACAATCCTATGTCTTGTTTCAAATGCGGCCAAGTTGGGCATCGTTACAACGAATGTCCAAAGAGGCAAGTTGACGCTCGTGTGGCTTTTGGTAATGAAGACATTGATGACGGGGTTTTTGATGATTCAAATCAGCCCATATATGATGAAGAATGTGAATTCGAACGTGAGGAGATTGAACCCGAAGAGGGCAAAAGCTTAATGATCCAAAGAGCACTTGCCACTCCTAGAGTTGAATCCAATGAAGATTGGCTTCGGTCTAATATCTTCAAGACTCGTTGTAAATCTCAAGGCAAAGTGTGCACAATTGTTATTGATGGTGGGAGTTGTGAAAACATCGTCTCACAAGAAATGGTGAATAAGCTTAAGCTCCAAACCAAGCCTCATCCAAAGCCTTATCGGATTGCATGGTTCAAGAAAGGAAATAAGGTAAAAGTCTCCAAAAGGTGTCATATTTC